TAATGCACAACGTAAAGACTCATCAATTATTTGTACAGAATAAATGTTTTGTTGCTTGTATCTATGTACTTATATTAAAAGGATTATTATAAATATTTTTCTCGTAAACATGGAGAATTCTTTTAATATTGTCCAAAAAAACTTTTGGTTTCTATACTATCGAGATAATTTATGGCACATTTTTAACATATTGTAATATTAAAAAACATCTGTATATTCGCACAAATGTGCATACAGTAGATATGACAAAGAGACTGAAATATTGACTATGTTAACTACTGCAAAAGAAAAAATATTTATTTATATTTCCATTGTTAAATAAATATCGTTGATCCAAATAATCCACATGTTTAAATAATTGCTCCCTTCATAGAGACAAATTTAAAGAGAGATGATACCTATAACACAAAAATAACTTTTATGGTTCGTAAATTATATATTTCCTAATAAAATACAGTTAAAAAGAGTCAATAATTTATTAAAAAAAAGATACTTAAGATGCATAGAATTCTAAATTCGTATAAAAATCTGCATATTTAGTATTTAAAGAGATCGATTACGTAAATAAACGTACCCGACAATCCAACTCAGATTAAATTCGTAGAAAGGAGAGGGTACTTTCTAACATCGTTTAGACTTTAAACGGAATAAGTGTATTGTTGTCGATAAATTGGAATTATACTTTTGAAGCCTCAAATTGAGAATAGCGCAATGCAGGATGTGCTCCTTGCGCGATGTAAAAAGGTGGAGTCGTTTTATAAAAATAGAGAGCATACAGTCTTTCTTGTCTCATCCCTTCGATCAGCTACGATACAATCTCTGAAGTAGGAATGCCGATCTTTTATGGACATTCCTACTCTGAATGTGTATTACGAAAAATAAAACTTCAGAGTTTTGTTTCATGTTTAACCCTGTTTCTGAAAAGCTGATTCGACCGTTGTACTCCTTGCGAGTTATTTAAATAAGAATTTCCCGAGATTACGACAGCTGTCGTAGAATCCGAATTGGAATGCAAAAATTCCTGTTGACTATTAGCTTCGAACACGTATCGCTGCTGCTGTTGCTGCTGCTCTTCTTCACCAATGTAAGTATTATGACCGTAACCATTCTTCACACGAAATTGTACTTCGGAATCCGTCTCGTCTTCGTTGTCTGCACTATCTACATCTCCTATTAATTAGAATTGTATTAGAATCGAGGATAACTCATTGAAATATCGATGACACGCATTTTAGTGGACGCCTACCGTCAGAACTATTGGTGGAAGGTAAATAGAAACGTGTTGCTGTAATCTTACTACTTCCAACACGTCGTTCTCGTTCTCTCGCGGTATTATTTGGATGATTATATTTAAATTCACGAGGAAGTGTGTAACTTCGAGGTAGCGACACTTGGCTACCCTCCATATCACTTATTTCCCCTTCTATTTCGCCTTCGCCTTTTGAGCTTTCTTCTCCTCCGTTTTGACTTGAACGTAATCTAAAATTTGTTTACATAAGGTGTCTCCAAATTTCTGCCTATTTTTGTTTTGATTTTACAACAGTTTATCCCCATGAGTATTCAATTGCGTGGTTACCTATGATTAACGTGAGTCGATGGAGCCCAATGCGTATAATGATGAGGAAGACATCGTGGTGCCAGTAAAATTTCTGGAGTATCCGCCCTTTCTCTCTGCGTTGTCCTCCACGAATTTGAAGGGTGAACATTCGGGTAGTAAGAGGACGATGGTGGCGGAGGTAAGAGACAATGCATTTTCACCGGTGGCCATGAGGACAATGTGACTCCTCCATTTTGATCAACTATGGAAGGAGCAGATGTGAATAACGGTGAGCTAGGAGAAGTATGTAACTTTGTGTTAGGTGGTGGCTGTTGATTTGATGCAGCCGATGACGAGAACGAGGACGCCGATGCCGAGGGTGGAGGAAATAATTTTCCTTCTTTTATTTCTTCTTGTATAGCACGTAATTCTCGTAGTTGCTGTTGTTTTTTCTCTTGAAGTTTTTCTCTTATTAAATTAACGCTCAAAGAACCCCCAGTTCCAGCGTCTGCTCCGATCTTTTGCTCACCCGAGTGATCATTCTGCCTCAAATAAGAAATCATTGAATGTAAGTTGAAAAGGAGATATACGTTTATAAATTTCGAAAACACATTAACGACATGAAATATTTCGCTACCTGTAATACACCAGAAGACATCACGGATCTTTTCCAAAATGGAATTAATTGACGTGAATTACTGTTCATACTCAGCCACTGTTTCGTGTCTCCTATAGCGTTCATTGAGGTTGCGACGGCTCCTGTCTGCGACTGCGATGGCGGAGGGACGAAAGTAGTTGGTTTTTTCTTCTTTCGATTTGGATTTGCTACAGTTGGATTGGCAAAACGGCAGTTAAACACTCCTGGTATACCACCGTTACTTAACTTAACTCGTCTCATTCCCACGTTCATATTTACTTTCTTATCTTCCGTATAATCTATTTGTTTCTCCTCCAAATTGTCCTACAAACATTACTTGTATAGTGTAAAAGCAACAGTAATCATTTTCGTTAAATATTTTTTGTTCTTCTATTTAAGTCATTTATGCACCTGATTCGGTAACGTTGTGAGGTTCGAAGCTGTCATTCTACCACCAGCTTCGTACATTAATCTTCTTACGTGAAAAAATCTAAACATAAAATTAACGATTGAAAAATATGTTTTGTAAAATGAAGATTAAATTGCACATTTTCATAATTACCTGTAATAAAGGCCCATGAAAAACATACCACCGAAAAATAAAGCTAACAATGTGAGTACAAGAGTTACCGGATTTGGATGGTTTTGGTGTGGAAGGAGATCACTTCTATTAATGCCAACTATCCATACACCAATAAGCAGACTGTTTTCCAAAAACATTACTGTATAAAATATTACCTACACAAATACATGGATATTATCGATATGAATGTTACAATTATTATTATGATTAACACATGGGGAATATCCTTTTACTTACCATCTTTTGACGATGATTCGTTTCGTGCAAATTTACATATGCAAATATGTAAACGAAAGCGAGAAGAGAGGCCAGAGAAGTTTTCCTTAAGATAGGTAAATGTTCACCACCGTGAAAAAGACCATCTGGAGTAAGCAGCAGCCACATCAACATCGACAGCCAGTGGAGGGCCATGACAATTAACAGCCATTGTCCACCATAGAGTGAAGCATAAGCTACCAATACTCCTACTCTAGCACTTACAGTTCCTAGCCTCCATGCTAGTTGTGCCAGCACACCTAGCCACGTAAGTACCAAACGTTCCAAATTACGCAGTCGAGCTGCACCTTTGCTAAAGCTAGCTACCGCCCAACATACACTCCATAACGAGAGTCCCGCTGATACTGCAGTCAATTTTGCTAATTTTTCGCTATCCCTGGGTTCAGTTTCTTTCGCTTTCCCGACGTCTATATTCGAGTCGTTGTTGACTCCAATAGATAACAGATACAATTGCAACAGCAGCATTGGAGCAGCTTCACAGAACGCATGTATAAGGCGAAGTACACAAAGTTCCCTGACCTAATAAAACACAAAGCCTTATTATATTATACATTTATAAATAATTTTGTATGTTTTTGCTTTCTATATAAGGATAGCAGAAAACAATGAAAATTTGGAAATATACAGAATAAAACCTTACTAATATTCTACGTGCTGGAATTATCCAAATTTTGACAATTTTCTACCATCTTCGTTTACAAAATAAAATTTACCTCATGTTTAACATAAGTTAAATTAACTGGTATAAATAATTTGAAGTATCTCCATAATACTCCAACTTGAGTAGAATGAAGCAATAAAACGCACCATATCGCCCAATTCCCATTTTCTTTCTTTTCACTGATATTGCAATCTGTGATAGTTTTACCAGTTAATCTTCCTCTGGCACCCCACAAGTACCATCGCACGCTGACAATCTAAAATCAATGAAATAATAAAATAAATTGATTAGAATAAAAAGATCATTTATATTACAATGAAAAGATTACCTGAGAGATAATTAACGATGTTGCGATAAGGACAATACTTAAAGGAAAAAGAATTGGTGGAGCAATGGAATGATGCGCAAGGGCATATACCATTGCAAAATCAAAAACAACGTCGCAGAAGTACGAAGCAAGAGAGATTATGTTGAATAATACATCACACAATGGTAAGAATTCGTGCTGATGCTGTGTCTGTAGATGCTGGGCCATAATGGGCTTTCGTTATCCATTTGGATTATCCAGCACCTTTTCCTTCTATCAACCCATGCCGCACATTCCACAGTATGAAAATTTGTCTAAAATATTAAATAATTAATATAAGAAATCAATATGCTATTTTCACATTTTTTGTATGAGTTTTTCTATCGAAACATTTTTAAGTTTCTTGTGAAGTTAACATTTAATTAACGAGTAGTCATAGTCAACAAATATGAATTTAAATTGACCAATTCTTATCAGTTATTTTCCGCATGTTACCGATCTGTGAAATCCTTCGAGCATTTAATACGTAAATATCGAGAAGTTTAAAGAATATACACGAAATAAAATTGCATATGTAAACACTTTTACATTTAGTCGAAAATATTGCAGAAACATTTTAAAAGAAAATGTTCTTCCTTACGAAATGAAAATAGGATGTCAGTCAAATGTGTCGATATTTTAACGTAATTTCGGGAGCTAGATGTTGAAAATGCTGCTAACATTTAATCGTAAAAGTGCTGCACATCATAGACATGTAATGAAACACAAAAGAGAGAAAAGTCTGCGAAACATAGGAGGAAGCGAATTTTCTTACCACATTCCTCAGATGTCACCGAATAAGTAATCACAAAAGTAACATTCTCATCTAGACATCTAGATGCTGCTTGCCAAGAACCTGGACCAACGTTGGAATGTAAGGAATTTATCCGTATTGTAGTTGGTGGACGCTTTCAAAAATAGAGGTTCTTTTCACCGACTTAGTATATCTTGGATGGCTTTCTAACCACTGCTGTGCATGTTTTGCGGGTTCACGTTCAAAGGTAATATTTTTATTCAATTTCGAAGAAACACTTGCAAGTACCTACACTTAAGTATGTACCTGTTGATTCGAAAGACGACTATGTATATGGCACAGGGCACAGTACGTAGATGTACATCAGTGATGTCCACGGGAGACATGCGGCATGCGGGAGACAAGAGACAAGACAAGAGATAACCGGTGTCCCCCTCACCCCACCACATTGTCCGCGACACAGACCCACACGGACCATAAGGACAGTGCCTAGGTAATTTTCATAGTGAAGTGTAGACCCCTATTTTGCCGACCTAAGGGAAAAGGAAGAGAACCACGATGTAAGAATAAGAGATGATCCGTCACCGTTCCCACTCCCGTGATCATAATGAGACAAAATAACACTAACATTTTATACAAACGTATAGTATGAATAAGCGACTCAAAATATATACATGTACTAAACATAGAAAAATCCGAGATATTTTTTAATATATGAATGACACGATAGTTCCTCGCTGCAATGAGAGACCGATTTCACTCGTGCCAAACACAGAGATCGCTAAAATTTTGTTTTTCGCGGGTTTTGTCGGAAACGAACATTTCGGCGGAACGGCGGACCCGCGGACCGGAAGAAGAACATAAATATTCAATAGACACGGCTTCAGATAATTTCCCTGAAGCAAACATGAAATCGTAGACCATATCTTAGACTCTAAGACTTACTTAGAGCGTATGCTCTAAGATTCGTTGAAGTCAATCGGACTTAGGGTTGACAGGGATTCCCCAGGGGTAGAAGAAAGAAAGTTAGAGCATCCCTGGCAACTCTGCTACCATTGAAAATCTTTTCCAGCGTTGAGGAAGAGTCTCACCTTCAGAAAAGAAATGCAAAGCACTTCTCCCGAATTTTCCTTTCCGGATATGATGTAGCTTTACTAGCTGCCAGAAAATCCACTTGCGCGCTCAGTTTTGATGCTTTTTGTGACAGGGTCGCTTTTCTTAATTTACCCGCAAATTCGAAAATTGAACTTTTATCAATTATGAACGAATGTCATATATACGAAAAACTGCTATATTTAATATATTCATTCACCACACTCAACAACAATTAAGTATATAATATACAGGATAGTTTGGAATGTGCTGCAGAGTGGTGGAGGATAATGAATGTTACAAATGATCTGAAATCACTCTCAAGGTACTTACATTTTCAATTTGGTCAAATTTGTTATCGTACAAATGAATCACAGTAACTTAATATCGAGGGATAAATTAATAGTAAAATGAACTACCTATATAGCTGTTTTATAATTGTGTCTAGTTTTCATTTAAGTTGCACATGTACATTGTTTTACTATATCTTATATAAATAAAAAAATTGAATAAAATATACTTGTTAATTTGTAAATCAGCTGTTCTTATATTATTATATATTATTGACTATTAGAATTGCAATCTTTCATCTGATGTGTAAAAAATGAATGACACCATTTTATTTTTCTTCAAATACCATTTACAAATATTCGAATGCACAATGAAATGAAAATGTAATTGTTTCTTAAAATTTTACTAGACTCACGAATAGTTACAAATGTTATCTTTCTTCGATAAATAATTAATTATTAAAATGCGTACATTCTTAGTATTAGTGGTATAAAGATACAAAAGATGTTCCTACATCTAGTAAAATTTTAAGTTCGATAGCATAAATACGTGCTCAGTGCAATTTGGCTGTCATACAAATGTCATTGTGATCACAAGTTTTACAAGTGGTTCTTTGTTAGTATCGAAATAATGAGCTCAATGAAAAAGTTCTTTACGCATTCCTTAATTTACAGTATAACAAACTTTGCTTAGATAAAGCAGGTATTTTTATACTATAAAGCTATTCGATTACAACTAATATGGTATATATATATATAAAAAAAAGACATTCATATGCAAATGAAATGCCGATCTCTAAAATCAGTCTTACACTTTAGAAATCAGATGCGTGTTTCCGTGCTTGGAACAATATAGACCTGTAATACATTTAAGTACATTCACGTTAAAACAAAAGGAAAGAAAATTGAAAATTAAAGAGCAGTGACAATATACAGGGATGAAACTAATATGTATCTTCGATAATAACTCGTTAAATATGACTATACTTAGTTCTTTCGAGTACATGAAACAATATATCGAAGTGAGTAATTTAATATGCTTATATTTTCCGATCCTTAAAAAACTCGGATAACCCACGACTGAGTTTGCATTGTTATGAAAACGATTATTTCAGGAGAGGGACCTGCTTATTGAATCACTTAAATAGTAGTTTGTAAAAATTACGTTAATAAATAGTTTCTTCACCAAAATATTCATCCCTTCGATAAACATCGAGTGTTTAGAATATACGCTTACACAATTTATGCATACAGTGTGTCATCTAATATCATTTCACGCAATAAATAATATCAATTTCTTTAAAAACAACCCGTAATACTACGATGTTACAACATAAAATGTTGTAAATGAAAATGCTGTTAGCAAGTATCGACCACGTTACGTATAAAAGAAGAAAGCTCAAGAAATTCTTTCCTAGTTAACTTCGAATTCAGATCATTGATCAACGCTATTTATTTAAGTTCTAAAACTTAACGAGAAGAACAAGTAACATGCACCTCGTCCGCTTTTATCGTTATTCGATAAAACCCGTATGATATGGATGAGTATTTTACTACTATATCTCGCACGATGAAATTCTAATGAAAGCCGTTAATGACTTTACATTTAGAACATCGGAGATAGCTGTGACGATTCGGACGACTCAAAGAATCGTTTCACTGTGAGAACTAACAATATATTATAAAGGAAACACCCCTCTCCCTTTCATCGGTTTAGTCCGTCGGTAAGCATCGTCTTTTGAAATATTTTCGATTCGTTTCTTTCGTCTTGAACTCCTCAGGAACAACGCAGCAAGTCTGAAAAGCTCGATAGCAAAATAGTCTTTGCGAAGAATATCTCAAGCTTGTCCGAAATTCTGGGTCTCCCCCATTCGATATACCACGAAAAAAATAATTCAATCAACCCGACCATAAGATGGTACAATGTTTTTCCCTATCCAGACGTCGCAGTTAGGATAATCCTGTTCGGGAATGGTGTCTTGTCCAACAATGAGAACTCGTTTGACGCCATTCGAATCCGCCTGTGCTACTTCGTCGTGCCAAACATAATGATTAAACAATTGTTGCATCGCAGAGACATGCCTTTTTTCCTCGGGTGTACGCGCAGCAAACGACCCGAGTATCGCGGCTGCATCGCTGTCAGGGTCTGCAAACTGACCACGAGGTTGTGTTGCCACATAGAATGGGATGGTAGTCTGCATTCGGGCTACCGTCAGCAGCGGACATATCACACGGATGTCAGATATCATGCTCGACAAACCCTTCAACGTAGTGTTGTAACGTCTGAAAGTACAAGCGAACATTTAATGAAATCATGTCGGATTTATCACTGTGTCTACCAAAGCGGTCTTACTTACTTAAGAGCCTCGTCGGCTAAACCCGATGTCCCTAAAAGAGATTCTCTTACCAGCTTCTCGACTTGCGTGGAATTTAGAGTTGTATTCGAATTAAGATACTTCAAAGGAATTCCTGCATGAGCTGTGGTGCCCATCACGATCTTAACTGAAAGTTCGTCCTTTGCCCAGATACGACCGACGGGTTCTTGAAGAATAGCGCCATCCAGGACTAACCATTCGTGTCGTCTGTCTCTGGACGTCGCTTCCCTAGCCTCGGGTAACCCAATGTTCCCAGAATACCAAGTATCCGGAACAGAGTCCATCAATTCCTCGACGCTTTTGCTTCTCAGACAGGCGGCGTCGTTGCATTTTATGGAATTCAAGAATTGCTCGTTGAATTTCTCCGAGTCCTCTAACTCTCTACCGGGAAAGATCGCGCTTCCGCTGGATATCCAAACTCGGGAGAACAATTCTTTCGTTCGACGAATGCCAACAAGAGTGGCGACAAGCGTTCCTCCTGCACGGTGTCCCCACAGAGTTACGGAATGCTTGTTACCACCAAAATTCTCGATATTGAGCTGAACCCATTGGAGCGCTGCTATGATGTCAGAAAGTCCATAGTTTCCAGACGTGGGTGGGTGGGTTGCTCTCGAGAGCGGCTCGGCGGCTAGGAAACCAAAAATACCCAATCGGAAGTTCGGTCTGACAAAAACCATGTCACGGACTCGCGCCAGCTTTGCAGAAGGCTGCATAACACCTGGTGATCCTCCGTTCAGGGTCTCTGCGCCAATCATAACGACTACAGGCAAAGGTGAGTCATATCTGACTTCAGGCGTGAACACATCTAAATACAAGCAATTCTCGGTTCCAATCACACCACCGAAAGCATCTCGTTGCAAGCACACTTCCGATGAATTGTATGCGAGATAAGTATCCGTCCAACAACGTTCTATTCTTCGTAAAGGTTCCGCGGGTTGCCAGCGACGATTTTCTATCGGTGGAACCGCATACGGGATTCCCCTAAATGCAAACGCACCGTCTTCCGATACACCTTGCACCGGACCGCAAGATGTAACAGCCTCCACGTAATTTCCATCTTTGATTAGATGTGTGTTTCCCTTTCTTGGACCGACACAGGCAACGCAAATGATGATGATCACCGATAGCAGGATACAGAGCGTGGCCACTGTTAACGAATACATTGCTCAATTATTATTATTGCCATACCAACCAACAACAGAGTGCTTAACTTCATTTTGTATTGGTATCGATCGGGATAGCCTTTAACCACGTACCTAATACAAATAAGTTTTTTCTGGCAATAGCAATGCAGGCAACAAGAAAATGTTGCTTAGGAGAGTCGATACCATCTGGAGCGTCCCCATCGAGACGTACAGTTTCCATTCCGTCTTCGGTCCCCACTGGATTCTTGTCTCCTGCACCGTCGTCCAAGGTCTCGACGCTAGCTAATCCTGCGGTCCCGGTTGTTCCCAATTCCACTTCTCCTTCCTAAATGATCAGAAACATTTTTATGAAAAATCGTAGCGAGAACGGATCTTTAGAAAATTGAGAAACGACGTGTAATAGAGACTCGTTCTACTTTCCCGTGCGTTCAGCTGTGAGCAATGAATACGTATGTATAAAAGAGGAAAACGTAGGTCGATTGATTAAAGAACACTTCAAAGAAAAGACCGCACGTGCTCGAGTGCTCTGCATTACATCTTATGGTTTCGAAGCATTGATTTTTCCGTTTTATAAGCAACAAACGCAAGACAAAGTTACAAAATCGATCCTTTGAGAGTACTCCTAAGTATCACCTTGTTCTTTTTCCGAGGGAAAACAGAGACTAAGGGTAGCTTTATGGCGTCGAGGAAGCCCTTCCGTCCCTCTTTCTCTTTTGTTTCTTTGCTCGGCGTGTTCGCCTTCTCTGAAGACACGTTCTGCTCGTTTTCTTTAGCATTTTTCTCTGTTACTTCGGCGTCGCCTGCATCAGCTGGTTTACCCTCGTCGTCCTAAGCGAAAATAAAAAATAAAAATAAAAAGAAATAATGGTGAAAGAATCACTAATTTCTATAATACATTCGTGTGTAATATTCGTTAGGGCATGTAAATAAAGAGTTATTTTCATGCATATTGGTATTGGAAGTCTCATTATCATTATCGTACGCGACGTCCGTCATTTAAAGGGGCGCGTAATCAATAAGGCCAGGTGTACTGTTCAACTGACGTCATCCATTGGTTTAATGTTGGAAAAAAGAAATCGTTACGGGGCTATGGTCACCCCTCGTAAACACGCTATGGTGCCCCGGGAACTTGTGCTCTTTCAGTAATATCGGTTGGTCGTAAACAGATGTTAATCGAGCAAAAGGAAACGACGGGTTCAAACAGTAACAGTCCTTGCTCGTTCGCATCCGCTCGGACATGCCATTTCGGACGCAGTCGAAATAAACTGATCGTACTTAGTTTACAGATTAGCTTGGTGTATTGTGCGTGACACAAGGATTGCATGATCAATAACACGTGCACCGAACGATTTCATTTCGTGTACTGCACGCGCGTATTCGCAATACATACGTATATGTAAAGTCGCGTCGCAAAGTACGTTAACACCTTTTCAAACGGAACAACTTTTTTAAAATCGGTACAAATTACTTGAATTTTTGTATATTCATTTTGTAGGAAAAATAGTCGGTCTAATACCTCACAAAATTCTAGCCATTTGGCTCAATTTTAAAAAAGTTATTCCATTAAGATGTACAGTTTATTTTAATTAAAAAAAAAAAAGTTACGATTAGTGTCCTGCTGGTCCCGCGAACAATTCATTCTAAGGACTACATACAATACTTTGGACATTAGGCCAATGAAACGTTTCCATTGACCCTTTTCTGAGCATTTCTTTTAACATACTAAACCTTTAAAATAGTTTCTACAGTTTCGTCGACTACACGAGGGTCGAGGACCATACATTTTGAAATCGGAATGTATTTAAACTTCAGAACGGCGATTGAATGTTTGACTATTACTTTGCAAGGTTCCTTGCTCTTTGTACGACAAAAGCCGGGCATCTTAATGCCACCGATGGGTATTTTCTTCTTAGGCTTCTGTTCTTCGGATTCCGAGTCAGGAGCGGTCGATGATACCGTGTGCTTCGTATTCTCGGCGTTCAGCATTTTTTCCCTCTCCTCCTCCGCGATTTCCTTCTTATCCGTACTCTTCTCTTGATAACCCTGGCTCATGGTTCGCTGAAAATATCAATTAAGGGCAATTATATTTCCCTCGGACAAAATTTTTCACCGAAAATTCAGTTCGAAGTATAAACGATTAATTTGATCCCTCTGGTATAGTAGTTCGCAAATTGACTGCACTAAACCTTCTGAATTTACAAGTTGTACTCATGGTTCATAATTAAAATTAGTTTTAAATACAAAATAATCTAAATGAATTAAATTGATCCTAAATTTATCATCACCGGTCAAATCGATCGTCTTCAAATGTTTTATTTTATAATTATTGAAATTATAAAAAATCTTTCACGATGAAGTGCCCGCCGCTTTGAGAACCACTGTTTGCGAGGAAGTACATACATATTTCTAAAAGGACGCCGCGTTGTTCAATCCCAAAAATCTTAACGGCGAGAACAATTTTCGAATTATTATGAGCATTTTCCGAGAAACATTGACCTTCTCGTTGATAAAATAATTTGATTCTGTATCTTTGTTTTTAGATCTAGCAGATGAAAATATATTTTTTCGAATGGTATAACAATTGCAGGGAAAACTCGCGGAAACTGCAATATGAATCGCCCTGTATCTATAAGCGTTGCAGCTGGCGTCGGGACGCCCAGACGTAAACCGATCGATCGGATGGCATTGCTCTCTGAGCCTATTGCCTTCAGGAGTCTAGCCATACATAGTTACCTAGCTTGCATTTTTCAAGTATCGAGGGAAGGTTAAATACATACGAAATAATAAATGAACGACCGAATATACATGAATAATCAAATTACAGAAATTTAGAAATAGTACAAAAGTTTAATTTAAGTATCTTTCGAATCGCATACGATCATCCTTTTCATCTTTTCTTGCTTATTTGAAGATGTTTTATAAATTATTGACCGTTAGAAGCCAGAATAATAGAACACGCGTGCATTAGCGACCCTTTCCCGATCGTAGAAATCCAGGAAACATATAGCATTCAAATATAGAAGGCGAGGGTGGTAAACCGGCTAATAATCGTCACTTTGGCTTGCCCTTTTCCCGCATAAATTTCAGCTTTATTACATTGTCTTAGAAATCTCAGCATTATGATAATTACATATGTACATATTCCTGAAATAGTGCGATCAGTTTTCGCTTTTATAAATCATTATTCCGATACGATTTATGCGCCCTTCTTCTCGGCGTTTTTCATCCATGTCTTTATTTAAAAATTTCTCCGTGAAGAAGCTTGTTGCAAAGTTCATCGCAATTTTATCGTAATATCTCCGTAATGGTACAAATTAGACCCTGTTTGTATGAATTATTTAATATTCATGGTTGAAAAATTGCTCCGATTAACAGGCTAGAAAACTTGAAAATGTCATAAATAATATTTGTTGTAATGTTTCTTCTTTCATCCCATTCCCGTCCCTCCCGCCCCTAGTATATTATTTAATTATTTATTTATATGTACATCGACGTAATAAATTTTACAAATGCTCGTGCATTGTATCATTGATCTAACGACGAAAACGATTCTACCTTTCGAGAGAACTGGCTAATATTCAAACAATTTTCACGTGCCCAGAGTCGTTTGATAGAGTTTTTCGATAAGTAATAAGTTTACCCACGATTCCGTTCACCAATATCATTTATTACACGAATCGTGCGGATCCTATCGACGAAAATAACGACAAAAGATGTGCATGTAAACACTCACGCTCTTCGAAGGATATGTTGAGGACGGACGCCACTGAATTTTCAGGAGGAATTCCTCTATTCGCGTAGTCGATACCTTTTGAATGGCCAGTGGACGCCAGGACGAACCCAATCACGTTGCTGTTGATGCAATCACTTCATTGATCGTAATACCACACTAAAATGTTCTTAATACAAATTAGGTTTAGAGACAAACGTTTAAACGAGCGCAAATGTCAGCGAAGTGGGATGACGCCAAGCGCGTGCTTACCTCGACTGCCTCAACTTGCCTCGATCTCGACTGGCGTTGCGTCGTTCCACGTTCCACGATTCCGCTACCCGCTACGAAGTTCTATCTCTACTCGCTACACCACGACACCGCCGCGCGAGTCACCTATTGGCTGGTTTCAACTTTGCGCGGTCATTTCCTTTTAAACGGGCGGCAAGTACACGCAACGATAGTCTTGAGTTAAATATGTGCCCAATTTATCCTATCAACGTTGTTGTTACCTCAAATCAAAAATAAATCCAACTAATGGTGTTTTTATGCTTTCATATAACAAGAATGGGAACTTTGAACAAAATCATTTTTAGCATAGAAACGATGGTAAACGAAACAACATGCATGATGTGATTTTTGTTCAAAAACGTTCATTTATAAATAATACAAATGTTTGAATGTTACAATATTCTAATGTTACATCGTAACGATGGAATTTGTTCATCGAAATTTGTGCGGAAACCATTGATATCAAGAAACGAGAAAACACAAACGAATGTAATATTTATGAAAAGAAGAAAAGTATCAATTCTGTAGAACGATATCACTGGGCGAGAAAAATTGAAATCATGACACAAGAGTATCCTATATATGTATATCTATGTACGTACATAATTGTTTTGAGCAGCGTATGTAGTTCGCGCTCGAATCGAAGAACGCGCATGCGGACTCGGCCAAAAGTGGATCAGCGTTGTCGTCGTCGTAGTGTCGTATTTGCGTTCTGCCTCGTTTCACGGTACGTGGCGTGCATCGTCGTTCGGTCATACGTGTATATATACTAGTCTATCTTTTGACAGTTCTTACTCTTACTGTACAGATCTTAACAGATCTTAACGCGCGCGTACAGTGAACATTGAATCTCGTTGAATCAGTTGACAGTTGACATCCGCTCTCGAGGTGAAGCGTTTGACCGGGAACAGAAGCTCGTTTTTCATTGACATGCTCCCGACAAAGTTCCGGAAGTTGTTCTATGAAAAAGCGCGCTCGTATTTAGACGCATTAGACACATAAATTAAGTGTCCACGATGAGCCAGAAACCCAACGAGTCTACATCTACGTCTACGTGCCTAAAGATGAAATTCCTGCGTTTCTCCTGGACATCGCGGGGTTAAAGTTTCTACACGACAAACAAATACAGATTTAGTTAGACAGATAGATAGATTAGTTAGATAGTGAACGAAGAGTATCGCGGGGTGAGATATCGAACACTGGCGTGGAAAACGGAAGAGTGTTCGACAGAGTTTCTGATTTGAAAATCGCCAAAAAAAAAAGACGGCCGATCGATGTCTTATTTGTGATGGGAGTGCCTGCGCGGGGAGCACTCGCGGCGATCGTCGCCATAAGCGCTTTCGCCGTCTACCTTAACAGCTTGAATTGCGGCTTTGTTTTCGATGACATTTCTGCGATCAAGGATAATCGAGACTTAAGACCCCACACACCCCTGAAAAATGTTTTTTACAATGATTTCTGGGGCACTCCTATGCACAAGGTGGGTGACTGGATGAAGGCGCTTTCGATTTCCCCCTTCCCTTTCACTCTTGTCTACCTTCTTGTGTATTGATCCGTTGAACTCTTCTCCGCCTTTTCCTACCTTTCGATTTGGTTCGATCCGACTCAATCTTGTCGAATTGAAATCGATTTTATACGAATTGGATATCCTTAACTCCTTTTCATGAGAAAATACCGGCTAGCACCTATATTCTCAGTTTCCTTTCTCAATTTTTCGTGTTGATCGAAAACTTCCGCTTCCGTTTCATTTATAAGTTACATTGCATGTCAATAGTAGAAATGGAAATGAGTTCAATATACCATTAAAAATTCGAATTAAATTTGTTATTCGAGATTTGTTTCGTGAATTTCGAATGTTATTTAAACTTGCGATGTAACAAATTTTATGCTAGAATAAATACCGCCAGATTTCGAAAGCGTATTGAAGTTACTACATACTTACAAGATGTTCGATGCTCGAAAGAATCGAATATTTCGCAAGTAGTATTCGATTTGTGGAAACTAAGATTTTGTAATGGGATTTAATCGTGATCATTCATGTCGATTATTTATTGTATTTTATAGCTTCTTTCTTTTTCAAATTACTCATCGAATACTTGAAATCATGTAGTCAAATCCAAATCTGCTTATAATATCCTTTATCTTATCTCTTCAACGAATGAAACTAATTTCTTCTATACATGCGTACATTATTATTAATAGATTATCTACATAATATTATTATGCAAATACCAGAATAAACTTTTTGTTTATAATCTGACCACAAGTATGCATTTAATATTACTTTTGTATTTGTTTTATACAGGAGCAGTCGCACAAATCTTACAGGCCATTGTGCGTTCTCACATTTAGATGGAATTACTTGATTCACCAATTGGATCCTATGGGATATCATTTACTTAATGTTATTCTACATGTTGGAGTGTGCTTATTATATTTTAGGTATGTTTCCCTTTAATGAGTCTTAATGATATTACATAGCTTGATATTATATTAATTTTCTATGAAACTGATGTTAATCAATATTGCAGGACTTGTTTGATGTTTCTATCCGATTCTGCAACTTTTGTGTCTTCTCTTCTATTCGCGGTACATCCTATACACACAGAGGCAGTAAGTTGCACAAATTGGTATTTATTTCGATCGAATCGATCGACGTTACCTTGAATTGATGTATGAGAATGTTATTTCATAATTATTTCTAGTCATTGTTCCTCCCTTCGGCAACAGTCTTTTGATACTGTATCCAGATTCAAAGGGTCGACGTCGAGCGATCGATTGCTTTGTAGTTCCTAGATCGCGTGTAGATACATTATCAGTGGATAATCATGTATTAAAGGTTACAGGAGTGGTGGGAAGAGCAGAAACATTGTCTTCTTTATTTTATCTGGCAGCTTTAATCACATACACTAAATGTTGCAAGAGTAAGAGATCAACAGGTGAAGATGTGGTTCTTAAACTTTCATCGAGTTACAATATCTTTTAATTTAAATAATATAACATCAACATTTTTTACAGAATGGAAGTCCTTGATGTTATCTATGTTATTTGTTTTTACTGCCATGTTGTGCAAAGAACAAGGAATCACAGCTACTGCTGTTTGTGTGTTGTATGAGATTTTTGTTGTACAAAAGGTAAATATATACAAATAAATGTAAGAAATTAATTGACATTAAGTATTCACTTAATTTTGCGATATTATTATTCATGCAGATCAGAGCAATGGATATTTTCCTGACATTAAAGGCAGCTTTTGGTGGGAAAAAAATAGCCCTTGCTTGGTCCAGTGAAGGTACAAAACGTTTGACTGCCCTTACACTTGTTACATTTAGTTTACTCATACTTCGACTACATGTAATGGGCTCAAAGTTACCTGTATTTACCAGGTACCCGCAAAAATTACATACACCTTGTACATAGAATATTCGAGATTTTCCACAGGTTACAACATATGATTTTTCATTATGTTTCAGATTCGACAATCCTGCATCTGTAGCACCAACGCCAGTAAGGCAGCTTACGTACAATTACCTCGCAGCAGTCAATTTAAGGCTGTTATTTCTTCCAAATGATTTATGCTGTGATTGGACTATGGGAACGATACCGTTGATAGAAAGTTTTACAGACCTTCGCAATCTTGCTACTATAGCAATTCATACAACGGTGTTAGGTTTATTAACAACGGCAATTTTAACACCCAATAGACAAACCTCCATCATTCTTATAATGGTTAGCATTAAATGTGTTCAACAGAGAAATTTTAATTTAGTAAAAATTTTATCGAAATCCTGATGTTCTGTCATCATTTGAACAGAGTTTGGCTATGATGGTACTGCCATTTTTACCTGCCTCGAATCTCTTTTTCCCGGTTGGATTCGTCATCGCTGAAAGAGTATTATACGCACCATCTATGGGGTTCTGTATGCTTGTCGGATACGGATGGAGTATTTTGTGCGATAAAAAGTAAATTCTCATCGTATTCTCGTTTATTTGTTTAACTTGCTTATCTTTAATCTCTATCTTCTCCTTTCTAGACTTAGGAAACTCACACTATTTTTATTAATAACACTTCTGGCGGCCCACTCAACGAAAACTTTTATCAGAAATTATGATTGGTTGGACGAATACTCCATATTCATGTCAGGATTGAAAGTGAATAATCGTAATGCCAAATTGTTCAATAACGTCGGACACGCATTGGAAAGTCAAGGGCAATTTAAAGAAGCACTGAATTTTTTTAACATGGCCGTGCAAGTGCAAGGTGACGACATTGGTGCACACATCAACGTAGGCAGAACTTATAATCATCTTAAAATGTTCAAAGAAGCCGAAGATGCATACTTGAAAGTAAGTTGTGTCTCTATAACGAAAGTAAATTGTACCTTAATTTTTCCATACTATCCATCGTACATCTCCCATCTCTTTTTTTAGGCGAAATCGTTACTACCAAAAGCAAAACCTGGAGAGTCCTACCAAGCGCGAATAGCACCAAATCATTTGAATGTGTTTGTGAATTTAGCAAACCTAATAGCGAAGAATGCAACTAGGTTAGAGGAGGCCGATTTGCTTTATAGACAGGCGATCAGTATGCGCGCTGATTATACGCAAGCATATATTAATCGAGGCGACGTCTTAATTAAACTTAATCGTACTAAAGAAGCCCAGGAGGTTTATGAGCGAGCTCTTTTCTACGACAGTAATAATCCAGATATCTACTATAATGTAAGTATTCAAGATACCTAGAAATAGTAGAAAATTAAGATTTTACAAAATTGTTACTTGTTAAGCTGGGAGTTGTATTCTTGGAACAAGGAAAAGCATCCCAAGCTTTGGCATATTTGGATAAAGCGTTAGAATTTGATCCGGAACACGAGCAAGCTTTGTTGAATTCGGCTATCTTACTTCAAGAATTGGGACGCGCAGAATTGCGAAAAGTAGCTAGAGAAAGGCTTTTGAAACTTTTGAGAAAGGTACTTTATATCGTTCGTTATTTGAAACATTTAAGTTTGTGAAATATCTGACGAAACAAGAGTATTTTTTAGGATTCCAATAACGAGAGGGTACACTTCAATCTTGGAATGTTGGCTATGGATGACCATGATAGCGGTAGCGCGGAACGATGGTTCCGAAATGCGGTCGCATTAAAAGAAGACTTTCGATCTGCTCTATTTAATTTGGCTCTGTTATTGGCAGACGAGCAACGTCCTCTCGAAGCAGCACCCTTTTTGAACCAGCTAGTCAGATTCCACCCGGACCACGTGAAAGGATTAATTCTTTTAGGCGATATCTACATTAACAATATAAAAGACTTGGATGCTGCCGAGAACTGTTATCGTCGCATACTGCAGTTAGATCCAACAAATATCCAAGGCCTACATAATTTGTGCGTTGTAATGGTGGAGCGTGGTAAGTTGGGTTTGGCTGCTCAGTGTTTGGAACGAGCAGCGGGATTGGCGCCCCAACAGGACTACGTGCACAGACACCTTGCCATTGTGAAGGCCCGCATCAATAGGCTACCTTCGGAACAACGCGACACGGAAGTCTTCGACGATTCGTTCTGGCAGACCAATCCGAAGGAAAGAAATTTTAACATGGGAGACATTTCGGCTAGTAATACTGCTGGTAGCTCATCTGCCGCAGGAGGTCCGGGGAATATCGTTAACGGTGGTAATCAATTCTTGGGAAAAACTGATTCTGTTTTCTCCAATCACCACAATCACATAGGAAATAAACAAAGTAGCGCGGATTCGCTAAATAATAATATAATACACCTGAAGAGTCCGACGAAACCTGGGAGAGTTTCGTTGAACAACATGAAAGCAGATGCGAAGGAAACGTATAACGACAAGGATAAATCCGTGAGCCCGAGTTCAAGTACGAACGACATGCAGGAACTTCCGTCTGAAAGAGGTTTCAGCGCGGACGCGACGGAATTGACAATCGATCGGGAACGTGCAGGCAAAACAATTAATTCCGAGCAATTTGATCAAGTCACGCCGATCTTCCCAGCTGGCGGAAACCATGTTGAAAGCACACGTCAAACAAAAGACACCGCATTGTCATAACATTGACGTTACGATCCGCCGAATATTGTATAAAGTTATATTCTATGTATAACGAAAGAATATGGTGGTACAGCCGTATAGAGCTAATGTGTGAATATAAAATGAATACAGAGTATTGTTTTATATGCTGTACGAATAGAATGTTTTGTAAAATATATTTAAAAAATGTGTATCTCTTTTTTTTTCTACTTTATAGATCTCCTGCGTCACTGGAATTCATCCTTATTCGTAGTATCATTTACAATTCGTTCAACGTTACATACGAATGTACATTTTATGTTTCTGTCCCGGGTAGGTTAAACAATTGGACCTTCTAATTTGATCATTTTTATTGTCATTTACAAATTCATTGTTGTCCAATGTTTTACAGCCTGTATCGAGTACTATTAATAATTATTTAACATTTTTCACAGTTAATTGATCATATGCGCCGACAAAGCGTATGCAATGAGATGTCTCGATAGTCTTGCATCGGATGTTTAATAATTATAAAAAGTGACATATGCGTAACGTGCTTAACGATCGCGTCCTGATCGTTCATTATTACTCAAGATGCGTCCGCAGCTTTATAAGGAACCCGGTAACCATTTTCAGTGACATAATTTTCTCACCCGTTCTCATCGTATAATCACCTTTTCGGGGACCGGTAAGTTTTTATACTACAATCCGCATTAACACTGCAAACTCTAAATTGATCTTAGTTCACCATTACCGAGATCGGAAAGATATCTTGATCGGATATTATTACATAAACTAATTTTCCTATATATTCATGACAATAAAACTCTTGCGAAATCCGAAGATGTGCGTTTTTATTATTCTTATAAGGATTTCACGCCGATGTAAGCTCATTTGTAACTTGCAAATCTGTTGCCAATTCCTATTCCTCGAAGCGACAAACGAAAAACAAGCGTGACGTGTGAATAAATGACAATGGAAACGGGGTGCTTACCACTAGCACGTTTAACAATATTAGCGTTAAGCAGAAATAATAGATAACGAAGTATGTAGTGCGATAATGTCGGGGATATGACTGCGGCAGTGAAAAAAGAAAGAATCGAGTAAAGTCGGGGTACATGGGCTGCTCGCACATTTACTTTCCACGACGGATACTGAGTAGAGAACACGAATAATGTATTTTACAAGTTGCAAATATTAAACAGAGCAGAAAAGTTACAGTCGCGGAAGGACCTAGTGTTTCGAACGCGTGCTTTTTCGGCCTCTTTTTATTTTTCTATTGAAAGTGTTAAAAGAGTGTGCATGCAGTGTACAGAATCGTATTATCTCATTGTTGTCTATTATAAACGAACGAATGTTTTTAGTTGTGCCGATATATCAAATGAAATGAAGACAAACAAGAGGAAAAAAGAACAATCCATTGTCATGAATCTCCTTAGTTTCTTATGTTCTCATAATTTCCAGTGCGGATGTTCAAGCAACGTTTCCGTGATAATAGCATACTAGATACGTTTGTCTAAGGAAGTTAATAGTTTCATTCGAATCGTCGATAAACAAGAAGATTCGTCTAGCTTTTTAATGCTATTTATGTTCAAGAGGAAATCTCAGGGATTGAAATCAATGGGACTAGTAAAGGGTGTCGGCCATTAAGGTGAAACACGTCACGAATCGCAAAAAAACGTTCCAGGAAACGGTAGAAAGAATACAAATGTTTAAGCTCGCAGAGAAGCTTTTTTCATTATCGTTACTATTTGTTGAGAAGTAGCTTACCGATGCTGTGCAAGTTCTCGTCCGCAGATATGACAATCTTTAAAAATGCCCGATGCATTATAACATATCTGTGATAAACTAGTTTTATACAGTTGCATAAAATAGGAATATATTTTTCATCGTTTAAGCATAACATCCTCTATCAATCGTGTTATTAATTTCATTTTATCAGTGTATTTACGATTCTCTTATCGGCTTTAAGTCATTTGTTTTCAATTCTGGTATACAATTTAAAATTTGTGTTTAAATAGGAGGTAGACGAAAATCTGTAATTGGAACCCCTTACTTGCTCCGTCGCATGTGCCTCAGTTTTATCAAGCAAATTGTTAATTACCGTTTACTCGTTTCATTTCGAAAATTAGACTACCTGGAACGATGTTCCTCGATTGATGCGAGAGTTAATGTATAAAGAAAAGAAAGGAAAGTACCAGACTTTAATAGCACGTCGTGATACATACATACATAGACGCACACGTATACACATATCAGTTATATCAATTCGTTCTAAGGAAACAGTATTTTTTTTTTTTTTATATTCCCTTTTATCATAAATATTTTCCTATGCGTTTGAAAAGTTCGAGTTGACCCGGTTCTATCCATAAAATCAAGGAAATACTCATTAAATAATGCCTATATTAGCAGACGAAGTTATATTAAGATTATGCGTTATCGGTGCTCATGAATCATGCAGTGTAATTAACATTATAAAGTCGGGTGTATCGGTGGAGTGGGTTTTTTCACCTAAATCTCTATTTATAAATTCATACTAAAAAGAATGAGTTACTGGTGCTGTTCTTTCTCCTGACAAGAATAAACGTTTGTTTGTATCCTTTAGCTACATTTATTGGTGCAAGATGAAGTTTAATTAGGAGAATAAACTTAAATGAAATGGAAAACGGTGCTGTTTTCTAGTTGTTTGAAATCTTCCAAGGTACATGAGATCGGTTATGGTCAGTAAAATATTTGTACGGCTCCTAGAATGGAAATTACCTATATGGAAATTTTCGCTCTGAATTTTCCAAACGATAGTTTCATCAAGAACGTAGACAGATGTCGCATTACTTTGATTTTTCCCGCTAATTTTATACAATACCTGTGCTCTAAGTGTAGCTTAAAGTTTCACATTTCTTTCATTGTTTTCTATTCAAATAGCCTAGAAGATGTTATTCGCAAATTGTTTTAAGAGCATTACTTGAATTTTAGATGTTCGCATACCGATTACTTGTGCTCGTGAGTTTGATGCTCGTGGCAATAATCTTAACGTCGGAAGCGGTTCGCGCGAAAGCGAATCTGTTCAAATATAGACGAAACCGGCAAGCTAAGAACGAAGTGCGTCAATATTGCGGTCGAAGTCTTTCGAGCACCGTGCAAATGATATGCGGTAGCACTTACCATGCCCGATTTAAAAAAAGCAACCAAGGTATTGAACGATCTTTCAGTTCAACGCTAAAACTACCGGATCAGTAGCCCTCAACCTTTTCACTGTGCTTTTCGATTGTTTACATGCAATAACACCAAGGCCCATATGTTTATATAACAAAATCTTTTTAATATTATAGAATTTAAAAATGATGAAATAAATATAGAACAGACCCATATAGGTTGAGGAACACTGTATTAGGTACTTCAAAATAACAAATCAGGCATTTTCTTCTCTTATTCAATGCATAAAAGTGCCACTTCTTCTAGAAATGGACAGCTATTTGCTTAGCAATGACATTCGCCCCTACAAGACCGTTCAGAATGCGAAAAAAATGTTGAGAGTTCGAAGAAATCCACGGGGTATTCACGAGGAGTGTTGTGCGAGATCATGCACCACGGAGGAACTAAAATCTTATTGCGGCAATCCTTTACCAACTGTTTAATTCTACTACACTTCCTCAATGTAAAAAATGTGCCGGATCGTTATTCGAAACATCCCACACATGTTAATGTGTATCAATAATTCCAGTTCTCTCGTACTCATTGTCAGTAAAATATCTTATTTTCTTAACTATCCTACTTTTAACAGTAATGTATCCCAATAATGTAGACTTGATTGAAACCTCTATTTATAAGTTCACAGGATTAATATCTTTTATTTGATTCTGCATAGTCAAATCGTAATAAAATTGAGAACACAATGTATAAACCACGTTGATGAACGTCTATTTTAAGTGAATGAGAATTTAATTCACCGTGTGTATCTGGTGTCCTATACCTACATTATATGTATACTAACATTTATGATACAATTTGATCTCATTTGCATTTAATCATATATGTACATATGTATGTATGTATACGCATAAGAAACCGATGTTGTATCGTTGATCGAATATGCTTACATACAATGATATTTTAATTCTGATACATGTGAAAACAGTTACAGCTGATATAGGTTAGTTGTACAATTATTTGGTAAACAGTACATACTTATATATATAGTAAATAGTAAAAGCGTATACGTATATTGTTTAGTATCTGTAAACTGTATATCTGTAAACGTATACGCACAAAACTAAAAGTTTTGAAAGAGAAAATTATACATTTTCAATATATTTTCGAAAGACTAACCTTTTTGTTATTTTCTTGCACACACATTTTATACGTAAAAATATATATGTACTATGTACTTGGGTTTGCATGAAAGTATAAAAACAAATTTGGTAAGTGTTCATATTTTCACAAAATCATCAATCTGTTCAATTTATAATTCAAACAGTTGACAATGTTATAAACGTTTAAACATTCAATATTAACTGAATATTTCTATATAATGATGTTATTTAATGAAATTCTATTTTAAGAGCATTGGAAGTATGTAGATGAATGCGAAGATTCATGAACAACTGTATAATACAAAAACACATCATAAACAATGGAAACAGAAGAAGTTTATAGTCTCGCAATCACACCACCCATTATATCAAGGTTTGCAGTTCAATGGTCTGAAGACAATCATATATCAGTTCTTACAGAGAAAGGAATCCATGTATTTGTAAGTCAGATGTAAAATATCATTTTTATTTGTTGCTTTAGACAAACATTTGTAAAATAAGAAGAATACATTCTACATTATTACTTTATGCAGGAATTTATACCAAATCCAATGTCTCCATATTCGACTATTAAGTTTTCAAGATCTTTCATTTATGCACCATTAATTTTTCCTACGGAAGGCATAAAAAATAAGATAGAATCGAAAATTTGGGATTTGTCTCGCGAAGAGATTTGCTCGTTTTTAATGGAAGAAAGTATGACACCTAAAGTACCAAATGTTAAGGAGATGATACCAAAAATAGTGGATTTGGCTTGGTCACCGCAGAATCTAATGTATCCGAACAATTGTCTTCTTGCAATTTTAACTACAACGGGGGCTGTTTTAATTGTTCAAAAAATTTCTACAGATTGGTACCCCACGTACGATTTAAGTACCATACGTTATAACGCTATGGAGAAAGAAATAACTGTACAGTTGAAAGATACTAAAGACAATTCCATGTTGTTTTTAACATTAAAAAATTGTATAAAAACATTGCAAGCTTCGTGTATGACTTGGAGCATGCTTTTTGTAGATTTTGCATACCTCGCCATTTCTTACCAGAATGGAGATGTAATTATTTACAAAGTTCCAAGTGTATCATATTGTAGTGAAACCGAAGATGTAAAAATTGTTGGCACAATACGTTTGAATGATTGTGCCAGAATAAACGCGTTACATTGGATTAGCATTGATACAAAAAAACATATAATTATTATCGGTTATCTCGATGGACGTATTCATGGTCTCTCAATTGGAGAACGTGATCAGATAATTGAACTTAGAGCAACTAGAAAATATTACGAGTACGCAGATCGCATACCTATCAGTATTATTAGGGCGTTTCCTCGATTTAATGCAACTATAAAAATGCTTATTTCGAAAGGTAGTTTTCTTTTCTTGTTGCACTTAGCAACGAATGGAACATTAAAAAGTATTCAACACATACAACTAGAAGGATTTATGATTTCAGGTATGAAGAAACAATTTTATTCTTCGCATATAAGTTCTAATCAAATTCAATGTTTTTAGGATTGACTTATGCTAATGTGGACTGTGCATTAGTAACAACAGAGAACAACTTGATGTTTATGATCGATACTAGAAATGATAACTTTTCAAAACTACAAGTAAAGAACGTGTGGCAACAAGCTCATCCACGGTATCTGGGTCTTGCTCATTCTTTAAGCTACATGATATTTGTAAATGTAACTTCTCCAAATTCTGTATATGATCATTTGGTAATGAAAGAACCCAGTAAGCTTCATTTCTTTGTTTTAAAGCATGAAAGTTGGGATCCATGCACCGTTTTAAAAAAGAATAAAGGAAAAAGATTAGAACGTATTTGGGATTGCTTAGAAATGATCAGAATGAAAGCAACTAAAGCTGAGAATATTGCAGCTGGATTGCCAAAAACGCCTTCGATTTTAGAATCATTGCCTTTAAATGAATTGCGGATAACAATGTGGATATCCGTAATAATGGAAATCAGCGAGAAGAAGAAAGTAATTCAAGGTATAGGAAGTATTGCAGGGGAAGTATCGGAAGCGCAGCCATTGATTTTCATTCATACAGCCTGTGATTATCTTGAACGTCTGGATAATAATTCATCTTTATTTGAAGAACAACAGCTTTCTATATACTTGTTAAAAATGTACTTCGAGGTTTATCTAGCAGGAGAAGAAAACGAAGAAATTACTCCAGTTTCCAAGCGCGCTAGAAAAATTTTAAAAAGAATATCTGATTTCAATATAAAGAAAGTAGAGGCATGTAATTTGTGCGGTGAAGTAATACATGATTTGTCTTGGAAAGTTACTAAATGTTCAAGGGGTCATATACTGCCTAGGTGTGCTATTACTCTCTTACAAATCACTGGTATGCAATATAAAATATGTCGAATATGTGGTTTAATATTTCATCCTTGTTTGGACCAAGTGTTTGGAAAAACTAGTTGTCTCTTCTGTGATATGCCTGCACATCAAGAAAATCGAGTTCTAGGTTCAACATATTTTCCATTGCAAGGAAAAAGTTTATCTCGACATGGGAATCATGTTCCGGATGATCGAGAAGCTGAAGCGGCTTCTGATGAAACTTGATGTAAAAAATATACCATAGGTGTTACCATAGCTGTAAATACTTTTTCTGTAATACATAATTTATATGTTCCTTAAGTACCAACTGTATTTATTTTGTAACAATTATATACATACATGATGGTTTTGAACCATAAATATCTGTATGATAATAAGTTTGATCAACAAAGTTGATTATAATTAATGTTTTTAAACGAACCAAAATTGTATATATGTGGCGCCTCTATCGGTGAAACAACGAAGCTCCGTTCGACGTTCGTACAGGGCCAATTGATGCAGTGACAAAACGCTCAAACTATTAGCCATATTATCGACAGTCGATTTTGGCCAACAGTTTGAGCGTATTGCCACTGCTCTAATTGACGTTGTACGGACCCCAAAGCATGGACCTATGAATATATGGACGGAGCATATATTGTAACCTGAATTAGGGCAAGATACGACTTTACATACGACTTTCTTCCAGGAAAGTAGGAGTAGAAGAATTACCCACCATAAATGTGGGATTGGATGATGCCAATGGAAATCCATTGGCAATCCATTGGAATCGTTCAATCCCATTTGTGAGGTCTTCTCTCCACCACTTGGAGCAGATTCCGAGCAGAATCCCCAACACTATTGGACGCATTAGACACCAAAGGACACACTGGCTTTGAGTGGAAATTCCACGAACGGTCAGGATGCTGGAAAGACTGGAAAGGACTAACAAGGGTAGGTTCCCAGAACTGACGTTCACTTTTTTTCACGACGATTTTCAGGTATTTCAAAAACTATAAGCCATTTTCCCCTAAAACCTTGTATCGTCGGATTCAGCTTTACAAAGTCTATCACTGTACCAAATCTCATCGAAAAGTGAGCATCAGCTTTGGGGACCTTCCCTTGTAAGATTAGCACGGAATCTGATTGTTCCGAATATTAGAATGGAAATAAGAAATGACAGGAACAAGCTATTAGAAGACTTAGTTTATTAGAAGTAGTACATACATGGATTTGTAGGAAAGAATACTATACTCATCAAAAATACTATGATTTGAATAACGCGCGGTAAAGTACCCGTTCGACTCCATTGGACTCGCTGCAGATCGTCACCTTCATTTCATGCCCTGGGACATGCTGGTGCGGACACCGGTTAGGTTGTCTGCGTTCTCTGCATTGTCTGTTGTCTGATTTGTCTTCTTGTCTCGTTGTCTTCCGTTTCGTTTGTCTGCCTGTCTCCCGTGGACCGTGAATCGTGAACATCACTGGACATTACTGGTGTACATAGGTACTGTGTAGGTATTCCGTGGCGAGAGAAACAAACGAAGTAAGTGCAGAATTGTAAATGATTTTACGTAGTACATATGTACCTACATTTTCAATACAATATGCATGTACAATAAAAGTATTGTCGAAATATCAGTTAATGATTGAAAGTACTAAGTAGCACAACAAGAAGTGATTTCTCCGTTTCAATATTAAACTTTTTGTAAAAAATTCGATTTACTAGCGTATTATACCGTTCGAAAATAAACAATTCGACAAGCGAGAAGTAATTTCTTTGCTACAAGTAGGAATCATCCAAGTGCCATAACAAATAATATAGCCTCCATAATGTCATAATAAAAGCTTTAAATACAAATAAAATCAGACATGCATAATATATTTACTGAAACAGTCGTTGTAGAAACGTCAGGCATATTCTATTTGATCCTACATTGTACTACTTTTGTAGCTTATTTCAAGCAGTATTCCGATTAATATTTAATATGCGCATGACGACAGAATTACCAATTTCTATTAAATAAATATTTTCAAAATTTCAACGTATACAAGTGTAGTATTTGTCAACATCAACGTAACATTAATATATATTAGTTATTTGTTTTATTTAGTTTTCCAGCCAAGAATCGTACTTTGGTTACAAAACTATCTTGTCAA